AAAAAAAAAAGTAAAAAAAATCATTTCTTCGTGAGTATCTCGTTTGCAACGTGGAAAATGCGAGTAACTAAACTAGCTAGCTAGCTTTCCTTCTCACAAACATTGGATCGCTTGAAATAACGTTTCTAAAGTGGAGTTATGTCGACTGTGGGGAGTGGGAGGGTGGGAGGGTGGTAGGAAGGAAGGAAAGGGGGATGAAGAGAGAGAGAGAGAGAGAGAGAAAGAGAGAGAATATATATTCGCGAAGGATCTCCTGCCACGAAAGTGCTTAAAAATAAAGTCTTACGTTCGTCTTTTGAGTTCTCCCCCACTTTTCCATCTCTTTTCAATCTATCTATATCTATCTTTCTTTCTCTTTCTCTTTCTGTTTATTTCTTTCTTTCTCTCTGTCTCTCTCTCTCTCTCTTTTAAAATTGGCCAAGTTCTTAGTAAGACAGCAACGAGAAAACATGTGCCTTTCATAGTTCTCGATTATCGTAAAATAATAATAATAGTTATTATTATTATCATTGAAAAATAATAGAAGAAGAAAAGTAAGATTATTTAATAATTTAATCATTTATTTATATTTATTAATAAATAATCGTGGAAATACCAAAAGAAGAAGAAGAAGAAGAAGAAGTGTTATGTTAACAAAATTTGGATAAGATAATAATTGATTAATTTGATCATAGAAATAAATCATTATCATTCACAAGAAAACAAGAGAATGGTTATTTAATTATTTAATAATTAATTTATATTTATTAATAAATAATCGTGGAAACACTAAAAGAAGAAGAAGAAGAAGTGTTATGTTAACAAAATTTGGATAGGATAATAATTGATTAATTTGATCATAGAAATAAATCATTATCATTTAAAAAAAAAACAGAGAGAGTAAAAAGGTTATTTAATAATTTAATAATTCATTTATTTATTAATAAATAATCGTGTGAAAAACCAAAAGAAGAAGAAGAAGAAATGTGTGTTACGATGAGACACACATTTGCTGAAATAATAATAAATAAATCATTATTATTCTACAAAAACATAAAGATTGATTAATTATTTAAAAATTAATTTATTAATATTTGTGTGATCATAGAAATAAATCATTATCATTCAAAATAAAGATTGATTAATCATTTTTTGAAATTAATTTATTTATTTGATCATTCAAATAAATCATTATCACACTCAAAAACAAAAGATTATTTTAATTACTTATTAATTTATTTATTAATTATATTTAATAATCATATAGAAACCAGAGGAAGTAGTATGTTAAAAAAAAATTAGATAAGATAATAATTAATTAATTTGATCATAGAAAAAAACACACGAAGGATAATAATAATAATTAAATGAAGTGTATAACGAAGATACTTATGGTGGGATCAGTGAATAATCGATTATGAATTCAAATAAAAATCGTATAATTTTTCATTAAAATTAACTTTCTCACGTTCTACGAGTGAAGTGTCTATTTTTGTTTGTTTTTATCGTGTGAAATTTGATGACGAACGATTGGTTATATTATAACGTCGAAAATGACGACCACTCATGGAGGACACGTGTATTACGTGATTAAAGTACCCAAGGACTCCGATGGCAATGAAAGGTAATCTTATCCCTTACCCTTTTTCCCATAAAAAGAAACCCCATCATTAGAATTTCTTTTTTCATCATTTTTTTCATCGATATTCTATTTCATTCTATCCTATTATCTTTTATATGTTAACATGTATTTTATATTATTTATTATAATTTCTAATTAACTTTCATATAAAATAAAATTTAATTAATTGTTTCTTTCAAATTGTGTGTTAATTATTGTTCATTTTTTCTCATCATATTTTCCATTGATACTCTATTAAATTCTATTTATTATTTTTTATATTTGTTTTTAAAGTATATATATAAAAATTATATTATTTATTATAATTTCTAATTAACTTTCATATAAAATAAAATTTAGTTAATTTTTTCCTTCAAATTGTATTTTAATTATTGTTCATTTTTTCTCATCATATTTTCCATTGATACTCTATTAAATTCTATTTATTATTTTTTATATTTGTTTTCAAAGTATATATATAAAAATTTGTTATTATTTGTATGATTCTAATTAGATTCCATGTAAAATAAAATTTGAGTTAATTTTTGCCTTAAAATTGTATTTTAATTATTGTTCATTTTTTCTCATCATATTTTCCATCGATACTCTACTTAATTCTATTTATTATCTTTCATATTTGTTACTCGTGATATATGTTACAATTTATTTTGATTCTAATTAGCTTTCATGTAAAATAAAATTTGTGTTAATTGTTTCCTTCAAATTGTATTTTAATTATTGTTCATTTTTTCTCATCATATTTTCCATCGATACTCTATTAAATTCTATCCATTACTTTTTATATTAGTTACTCATTGTATATGTTACAATTAATTATTATTTATTATGATTTTAATTAACTTTCATATAAAATATAATT